AAAGTTCCCATGGAAAAGATTCTTTTAAGAGGATGAAAAGACAAACTATTGGAGAAATACATACAGACCATTATATAAATACACGTAACGCTATTAATTATATATATTGCTATTAGTATTTAGACTCCATAAGTAAATCTCAAAACTAAACATTAGAAAAGTAAACTTTCCAATTAGAAAACAGGCAAAAGACAGAAAGAGATGCTTCAATGAAGAGGATCTGTACATGGCAATGAGCAGTGAATTGCTGCTCAACCTCATTAGTCATCAGGGAAATGCAAATGAGAACCACAGTGAGATACGACTGTACACCTATCAGAACAGCCGAAATGGAAAAGTCATGATGACAGCAACCGCTGAGCAGATTAAGAGAAACCGATCATTCATACGTGGTGCTGGGAATGGAAAGCAGTAACTCCAATTCAGAACATCATCTTTTGGCAATTTCTTTAAAAACTAAATATGCAACTACTGTATGACTCAGAAATTACATTCCTAGACATTTATTTCACAGTAATGAAAACATGTTCACATAAAAACGTGTGCATGAATGTCTGTAGCAATTTTATCCCTAATAGCCCAACACTAGAAACAAACCTCATTTCCTTCATCCTTACCATGAAATACTCCTCAGCTCTAAAAAGGAAAAAAGTATTCACACATGCAACAGCCTGGAGGAGTCTCCAGAGAACTATGCAGAGTCATAAGAACAGATCTCAAAGAATTAAATACAGTGTGATTTAATGACACTGATTTAAATGACATTTTTAACACAACAAGGTTATAAAACAGAGTGCAGATCAGTGGTTGCTAGGGGTTAAGGAGGGAGTGTGGGTGGCAGGGAAATGGTTATCAATGGGCAACCTGAGAGATCCTTGTGGTGATGTTTTTTATTTTGACACTATCAATGTCTATTTGCAATATAGTATATATGGTATACTTTTTCAAGTTGTTACCATTGAGAGAAGTCAGGTACAGGGTCTGAGGCTCTTTCTGCTTTATTTTCTTACCACTGCATATAAATTACAATTATCTCAAAAATTTAAAAAATATTAATTTAAAAGTGCTCTGTAGTATACAAATAATTCACCATAAAGGGCGCTACTTATATATCATGGAGGTGCCTGTCTTATTCTAGACCATGCTCCTGAGCTCCACCATTGACCATTGTTGCAGCCTGGGGGTGACTGTCACACTGAGAAGGCATGAACTCTGAGCAACACTATGGAGTCAGATCACCAGGACTTGAGGAGGAGCTGGGGTTGGGGACTGGAGAATAGTAGTACCAATGTGTACCCACCTTCCTCCTTTCTTCCTCTAATATCTTGAAAAACTAAATTTATTCTGAAATATTGCATCTAACTTATTTGAATATAATGATAAGAATTTCTCTAGGGCTGGGGATGTGGCTCAAGTGGTAGCGCGCTCGCCGGGCGTGTGTGAGGCACTGGGTTCGATTCTCAGCACCACATAAAAAATAAAATAAAGATATTGTGTCCACCTAACACTAAAAAATAATTTTTTTTTTTTAAAAAAGAATTTCTCTAAACCCATTAACCAAATATTAGTTAGGGTGTATGTTATAAAGGCTTAAAGACACTTCAATGTTTCTCACATACGTGCTTCCTTAAAAATCAATATTCATTTCACACAATTTCCCCAGAAATGCCTCATATTTCTTTTCCCAATCGTGTCCAAGCCAAGGACAGACTTAATTACCATCTTGTACCTCTGAGATTCCAATCACGGCATTGTGGTACACATCACTTACTCTTTTTTGCCTGTTTCCTCTTCCTATAGATGAACTAAGACGGACTCTTTAAGAAATCCCTGCTGTCATCAACAATCTTCTGTTTTCCATTCTGATTATATCTTTCTTTCACATTTTACTCAAGCTACAATCTTGCTTCGTCTTCTCTTTCCCTGTTTATTTTAACCATGGGATTTGACAGATACCCTCTTTCTGTCCCCACAGGGGAGGCAAACTATTTCTTATCATTTTTATTTCTTGCCTTGGAAATAAAATAATAGATAGATTTCCACTTCGCTGTGCACTTTCTTCTTAAAAAAAAAAAAAAAATCTCCACAGAGCTAGATGGTTGGTGTCAAGTGCTTTGTAGAATCTCAGTCATTTCTTTTTCATTGATGTGATGATGTGAAGGATGCCTGAGTGATTATATGGAATCTTCATTCCTATCTTTAAATGCTTAGAGAGAGGCTTCTTATAAAAAGGAGTGAAATTTAGAAATATTTGGGATTAAGATGAGGTCTCTCTGGAGTCCTGTGGCTGGTATCACAGATGCTGCTGTATGCTGAGACTGTTGGGTTCAATGACGTTCATAGATGCCCACCCAGTGCCCACTGTGAGCACCTGTGTGGGTGGGGAGGTGCTGGTGCAATTTAAGTGGTCTTGTTCTTTGCTTTCCTAATGAGACGGACTCAGCCATCAAAGTCTTGGATTACCATGTGGCTCGAGCTGTGAGAGCTCTGAGGTATTCATGAGATCTGAATTTGGTTCCCCAGAGCCAACTGTGATTGAGAGTAAAACCCCCACTTAAATCAGTGTGTGTAAAGAGCTTATTTTAAAATCCAGAGAACTTCTGGAATCCTAGACTTCCTGTAAGAGAAACTGGGAACCAGAAATGTTAAATGTCAGTTGCTTTCTCCAAGTCTTCCCCCTCTCCCTTTTCTCTGTCTCCCTTTCTCTTTCTAACCACTTGGTCCTTCCTGTCCATTCTCCCACGTGCATGCTCCTCTTCCCTCCCCCATCCCACCTTGTCATTCACTCTAGGCTTATTGTTCTAAATGTCTACCAGCCCCAACTTTTTATCATCATCTTTCTACACAGCCTGCTCCATGTCTTGGGAGTTTAATTCCTAAATCTCTGAGGAAAAAAAAAATTAGTCCTGATACTCTCCATAAGAGCTAACTCTAGATTTCTGGAAAATGGATCTCATCAGTGGCCCTCTGAGATCTAGGGTTTCTCCCTCACCTGTGGCAGGTGCTATGGGTAAGATAAGATTACCTGAACGTAATGGAGTACTTTTTTCAAAATATTTGCTTGTTCAATTATTATATCCTGCAATATGTTCAAATAAAGCTTAAACTTTATCATGGAGAGAGAGGATACTTCCTCACAATTCAGCCTGATCCTTCATCCTCCTGTAGCAGAGTCTTATGGGAGCTGCTATGTAACTGTGAGGATCATGGTATTGGGCAGAGTTAGGGTGAAGGAAAGAGCAATGGGTTGAAGGTTATAAATCCAATGATTATAAGGCCCAACATGATCCCAACTCACTTTGTGACCTTGGGAAAATGATATCATTTTCTGGGCTGAATCATCCGTTCCACATGATAATGGTGTAAAGTTTGTTGCTCAGTGAAAGGAAAAAATCCTGTAAGAATATATGGAGTCCAAGACTCTTGAGGTTAACTCCACATGAGTCCAAATAATGCAGGATGAAACCACAGCTGTAGCTGACTTTAAGACTTCTTCTGGCTCTGATATTCTGGGATTCAAGTCAGGAGAATTTGAGGTCCTTAGAAAACATTCACTTATTCAAGAAGAAAGCTGACAAGATCCAAGATATGGCACTAGAAATTTTCAAGAGAAATTTATTAAGACAGGTTCCAGGGTTTCAGAATCTAAGCTGAGAGTGAAGATGGAAGGAAAAGTCAATACTAATAGGAGTGGGAGGCAGTGGGGTGACCCAGTGAGAAGCAGGTTTATGTAATATGGATCCTATCATGATCGCCAACAGAAGGAAGGCCGAGGAGGTGACCTCCACTCCCAGGCAAGGTGAAATAATTCTTCTGGCCTTAGCCACATTATATAATAAAGTAGTAAAAACAAAATAACACTAATGAATATAATTAATAATACATGATAATGTATGTTTTATCAAATAATATCAATACATGAAAGTACCAAGATGGCACATGGTACATAGTAGGCTGTTTTTCCTCTCCCCTTGAATTGCGATACAGTTGAAGTACTACTTAGACATCTTCTAATCAACTTCTCTAAAGATTTTACCAGCTGAGTAGACAATAAGGCAAGGTCCTAGGGAGATTTCTATGATGTGTGTACAGGACAGATGCTCACAGAGAAATACCTTAGAAGAGCTCATCCCAACACTGTCCTTGTTATGTTTTCTGATGCTTTGTATGTGTAATATCAAATAAGAAATTGATTCTCAAAGACATTCTGCCTCCAAGCACTCTTCCTGAGGTTGTTAGGAGATCTGAACTTGACAGTTTATATTTAACTACACAGATCTGAGTGTTAGGTTGAGAATAGGGTCAGAATTCTACCCAAATTCTCATCTAAATTGAAATAACAAGCAAGACATGGCAAATAGGAAATTTTCTTGAAAAAAAATATTAGGTCATTAATTCTTGGTATTTAAAAATGTTATTAGTATTTTAGTTCACATATTCTAGCAAACATATCATTTGGATAATAGAAACTCTTCTAGTAAATTCGACTATAGAAGATCTAAGAAAATTATAAAGCTTATAAGAAAGTATTGGTCCAAAGATAGGTCAAACTACAAGACAATAGGATCTTGAGCAGCTCGTAGAGTATAAGAAAAACAGACTGCATTTTCCTTGAAATTGCAGAAGTGTCAAACGAAAAGTTGTACTTCCTTTCTTTAAGTAAGTCAAACCATGTTACTTGAATCTTCAATGAGTAATATTCATAAATTGTGAATGATGAGTTCTCTTTTCATTCTTCAGAGCCAGCTCACAAAGTTGGTATGAAGAACAGAATATAAATAAATCTAAATGTTGAAATTTTAAAATGTGTATATAGGTGAGAGCAGTTGAAGGGGAGAAGGAAGAAGAAGAATGGGAAAATGCAGGAGGGCTAATTTCTTCCTCTTACACAGTCAAGGGTCAAAACCCAGACTATTATAAATGAGTCAATAAGTAGAGATGAAGGACTTATAATTTTAAGGTGGCAGGGAAAGACATTTCTATACCTTTTCTTTTCTCAGTAATCACCCAAAGCAACAAAAAGAAGAAGAAATACAAGCCCCAACTCTGACAACACTGGAGAGAAGATATGGGTAATAATAAGCCTAAGAAGGAAGATGGATGACACAGGAATCAATGACAAGATTGCCTCCAAAGAGGCCCCACTGGGAAGCAAGTGGGGTCCTAAGGGAACATTGAAAGTTTGAAAAAGAGGTGGGTTATACCCTAAGTCTCCACTTCTATTCTTCCTATCTGTAGTAAGAGAAAACGGAACCAGGCAGGTCCTGGGCTCAGGAACTCCAAGCCCAGAGACAGCAAGTAGAAGGAAGATGGAGGTTTGTAAAACTTTTGATGTACATCTGGCATTTTTCAAAAATTCAAAACCTAAAAATTGGCATATTAAAGATTAATAGCCACAGTCACCCCCTACCATCTCACCTCACCGCTATAGAGCACAGGCAATAACTGGTTTAAATCACTCAGGCAAAAGATTAAAGGATTCTTTCCTAGGAAAACAGACTCATCCCAGAATAAAAACTCACAGATCCTAACATCTGGGGAACTCCCATGAAGAGCTGTCTCCTGCTTACCATGAAACCCACTGGATAATGAGTCATGTCCAAGTATGTCGTCAACCAAGAACTATCCAGAATTTCAGACCAACATGAAAGAGCAGAAGGAGGAATCCCAGCATCCTAAAAGGAAAAGAAAAATCCAGGAGAACTGAAAAAAAATGTGGAAATTTCCTAGAAAGTAGAATAAAAGATGGATGAATAGTAGAAGAAGGAAAATATGGGAGGCCCAACACCTGGATAATGGGAGTTCAAGGGAGAGAGAACCAGTGGGGTAAATTTATCAAAGAAACAATACAAAGAAAATTTCTTGAAATACAGGATGTGTATGTATGTGTATGTGTATGTGTATGTATGCCCAGCTCAGTGAATAAAAAGTGTGTCTACCAAAAAGCCATATCATTGTGAAATTTCAAAACCCCAGATATAAAGAGAGGATTCCAAAAGCAACAAGAGTGAGAAGGAGAAAATCAAATCACGCAAAATGGCTGGGCATAAGAAGGGCATTGTATGTGGCCCTTGGAATGCTCATGGAGATTTTTTTCTTCTGATTGAGGCTTCCTTTCTCATGAAGGCTCACTTTCTGAGTTTTATCCCTGAATTCTTCCCTCACAACCTCTCTTGCTCTGCCTATTGAAGACATTCCTAGAAAGTTCTATCACATCATATTCAAAACAATCTCTTCTCTCCTTAACTCATTTCCACATCCGACACTGTGTCAGAAGAGTGTATACAGGACCTGGACTTGCCTCCCAGCCATCTCTTCAAACATCATCTGAACAGGGTGGTGGTCGAGTGTGGATTTCCTCAGTACATACCAGTGGACCTCAGTTACCAGAATCTCTGCAGACACTATTGACAAGTCTTCCTCCTGCTTGGAGCCATCTCTGCCCCCTCTGGTGATAGAAGGAGATGATAATATCAGTCAGGTAGCAACTTCTACAAACACAAAATATTGATTTAACCTAGAAACACCATATGAGAATTCTGCTGATTCCCACACAATAGACCCATCCATACCTTAGTACTATCGAGCTGTGAAGAGAGAGCAAGGATCTACTTAGGCAGAGAGCAAACACTGGTGATCAGGCCTTATGACTGAGAAACTCTTAAGCATGTGAGCTTAAGTTTACATATTTTTACAAAATCAAAATCCCTCTCTTTTGTTCTCTTTCTCTACTCTCCAAAATTTCCCTTGTATTGTAGGGGATAATGATGACGGCCTCTACCCTGGGATCACATTAGGCTTGTACTTCTGGTTCCTTCCATTATCATTTCATTATTCCATGGGGTTTTAGGCTATATCCTGATAATCTACAGATGGCAGAAACTATTCAAGTGTTCCCATCTTGTATCATTCAGCTTTTGCTGCATAATAAGCCGCCCTCAAATTCAATGACTTAAAATAGCAACCATTTTTTAGTTTATGACTCTAGATTTCAGCAATTCAAACTGGGTTCATCCAGGCAGTTCTGGCCAGGTGGCCTGGGATTTGGCTGGGGGTAGAGCTTGGTTGAGACAGCCTATCTCTACTTTACATGGCTTTTCATTTTCTAGCAGGCTCTCCTGGGAATAGTGACATAGTGACTATGTTGTTCCAAGAGTATAAGATTAGAAACTGAAAGACCTCTTGAGGTCTAGCATTGAACATGTTCGCTGTCCCTTCTACCATATTCTATTTATCAAAACACATTGCAAGATTCAAGGGAACCCCACCTCTTCATGAAGGAACTGCACAATATTATGGTCAATTTTATAATGCACCATATTTCAGGAGAAAAACTGAAAGTAGAGGAGGAAAGAAATAGACAACTTTTACTTTTCATTTGTATCATACCATTTTGTTGGAATTTTTAAATTCATGTATGTTACTTCTATAATAATGATAGTAATTGTTTGGGTCAGCTTTCCATTGCCATGATAATATACTTGAGAAAATCAATTTATAAAGGAAAAAGGTTTTATTTTGGCTCATGGTTTCAGAAATTTCAGTCCATGGTCCTTTGATCCTATTGCTTTGGGTCTGTAGTAAGGCAGAACATCTTGATGGGGAGCTTGTGGCAGAGCAGAGTGGCTCACCTCCTGGTAGCCAGGAAGCAAAGAGAGAGGGGAACGGCTGGGCTACCAATGTGCCTTTGAAAGGTACACCCTCAGTGACCTTCCTCCCACTAGGCAACAGTGCAACAATTTGGCAACCAAGTCTTTAAGACCTGAGGCTTTGAGAGACATTTAAGATCCAAACCATAACAATAATATTAAAATATGATACCAAACATGTCTATTACTTTAGTTACACATTGAGATAATAACATAATTCATAATCTAATCCACTTTTTATTATATATCTATATTTCATTTATATGTGGTGCTGAGGATCGAACCTAGTACCTCATTTATGCTAGCCGAGCACTCTACCACTGTGCCACAACCCCAGCCCCTACTTTTTTCTTTTTCTTTCTTTCTTCTTCTTATTTTTTTTGGTGTGTGTGTGTGGGGGGGCGATACTCAGAACTCAGCCCAAAGTCTTGTGATGCCAGGCAAGCCCTCTGCCACTGAACTACTTCCCCAGTCCTTTTTATTTTATTTGAAGACCGGATCTCACTAAGTAGCCCAGGCTGGCCTTGATCTTGTGATCCTCCTGCCTTGGCCTACCAAGTAGCTGAGGTTACATTAGCACCACCCCACCTGGCTTTGAAGAAGCCATGATTGAATTCAAACACCTAATTCAGGGTATGTCTTTGGACCTCTTGTAATTTTAAGACCAAAAAAATGTCAGGTTGCAATGAAAACTTCCAGCTTGGCATGTGATAAGTCCTTAATGAATGTTGAATGAATCTGGATCTGAATGAGAAGATGGGAGCAGAAAAAGACGTAGGAATAAAGGAAAACAGTCCTAAAATTTTCTTCTATTAGTTTACTGTTTATAACCAAGTTTTATCATGGCAAGTTGAACTTCAGTGAGCAAGAAAAAAAAGATTAAACTCCCACACACTTGTAGCGTGGACTGTGGCATGAAATAACAGAGGTGCCCACTGCTGCCACGATAGCTGGGAATTATGGCCCAGGGCAGAATCAACCGTGTTCTTAAACTCTAGGGCTGCAAGTCACCAATCTAAACAAGAAACCACGAATCTTTAGAAATGCTGGGGTGCTCCTCATCTATGTCAATTGGGGCCTTGGAGAAGCACCCAAAAGAGCTATTTTTTAAAAACGTTCTTTCTTCAGCAGCTGCAACACAAATTAGCAAGACACAGAGAGTGGCCTCTTAATTTTGTTCAATAAACCCCATGTTCAGTCTGATCTGGTGCTCTTACCAGTTCTTCCTGTTTCTCCAAATTAAAAATGGATACCTAGAAACAAGAAAAATCTGTTACAGAAATTCTTGTAGATTCTTCATTGGCTGATTTTCAGTCTAGAATAGGTTTTCCTAAATTTTATTTGTTGTAATGTTTGCGAGAGTAGGCTGGCTGTTTATTTAATCGTCATTGGAAGTCCTCCTGGCCCTTCCCAGGAAGGTCAAAGAGTAGCCTGTTATTTTGATGCCTAATGTAACTGGACAAAGGAAATTGCTTTCATCGTCTTTGCTTTGCTTTTCTTAATTGAACTGAATGTCAACTTTCCACTTGATGTTTCCCGACAAACACTCATGTTCCTAATGCAACTAGATTAGATCAATCTGCATCTGTCTCCATTGTTCCCTGGGATTGCATAAACTTTGAATATATATTTATTTTGTGGATTTCATTTCCATGTTAATTAGAATGCAGGTTTCTGGAATTTCTTTTTTGAGTATAGTAATCTTCTTAACAGTCAGCCTGGTGGAAACAGCTGTGTGCTGTTTACTGTAGAAAAGATGATGTTCAGGGCTGGAGTTGTAGCTCAGAGGTAGAGTGCTTGCCTAGCACATGGGAGGCACTGGGTTCAATTCTCAGCACCACAAATAAATAAGTAAATAAAATAAAGATCTATCAACAACTAAAAAATATTTTTTTTAAAAAAGACCTGGTTTAAAAAAGAAAAGATGATGTTCATTTCTCTGATGATGTTCATTTCTCTGACAATAATTGGATGTGTACTTTCTAGATCAAAATTTGCACCTCCATTCTTGTTAATATAATAATAAGCATATGCTAATTTACCGAGACTTTCAAACTCACTTTTATTAGGACACTCTGTTTTTAGGAAAGCACAACGCACAATAAAAATTACTGAGAAGTCAATTTGAACCAAACTCTGTTCTCTATATAAGTAGTTTTTTTTAAAAGGATGAATCATTTCTCTAGTTACAAAAGTTACCCATGTCAAGGGTAGAAAATCTGGAAAATAGACAATCCCATTATTGCTAACATTTTGATGACTTTCTTTCCATATACATATAATTGATGTTTGTAAGATACTTTTACGCTAAGTAGACAAATATGGTATCAGTCCCAAAACACTTTTTCACCACTACTCTAATCAAGAAGTTATTAGAGATGATGAGGTGACACTTGCCTATAATCCCAGCAACTAGGGAGGCTATGGCAGGAGGATCTGGCAGATGGACACCAGTCTCAGCAATTTAGTGAGACCCTGTCTCAAAATAAAAAAGGGTGGGGGATGTAGCTCAGTGGTAAAGTGCCCATGGGTTCAATCCCTAGTTTCTGTGTGTGTGTGTATGTGTGTGTGTGTGTATGTGTGTGTGTGTGTATGTGTATGAGAGAGAGAGAGAGAGAGAGAGAGAATGGGGAGTGGGGAAAGAGACTATATATTGTTATTGTTGTTGTTCTTATTTTTGCATAACACAAAAACTAAAGCAGGCAGTCCAGAAGGAATCTGATGGGCCTGGGCTTTTGCTATCCTGCCCCCCCCCCAACCCTTTGCATATGTTTTGTGTTCACATGTAAGCTGCTGAGCTTCAGTGAGCATCTGCAAGTTCCCAGCAGAAGGGAAAAGGCCCAGGAGACAAAAAGGCCCATGACAAGTGATTCAGTTCTCTTTAAAGAGTTTTTCTAGAAGTCTTACTTGGTGACTTTACTTGCATTCCATTGGCCAAAGTTTAAACTTTCCTAGCTGCAAAAGACATTAAGAAATATTTTTGTTGATTCAGTTTGGTTTGATTTGTTGGGTATGTTATCATATACAAAATCAGGATTGGTAGGTAAAAATGGAAGAACAGATATTGGGTAATCAGCTCACAAGCTTCACCACGTCCCTTGGGTATAGCTGTGTATGTCTCTTCAGGGCAACTATTATGGGTTATACCAGATGTCCTAAAAACTTCCCACCCGGAAAATTTTCTCTGTCTCTCTAGGGACAGGTACATCCTCTCATCAGCATAGGTAAGGATCAGACAAAAAAATATTGAACCCCATCTTCTTGGGGACTCTGTCTCCTGCTGACTTTAAGATAGA